GTGTGTGTGTGTGTGTGTGTGTGTGTGTGTGTGTGTGTGTGTGTGTGTGTGAGTGTGTGTGTGAGTGTGTGTGTGAGTGTGTGTGTGTGTGTGTGTGTGTGAGTGTGTGTGTTTAAGTGTGTGCATTTCTATGTCTGGAAGAGAAAGTACATGCATTTGATCTTCAAATGCATGATGAATTGGGGTGAAAAGAAGCATGGCTACCAGAAATCTTCCTGAAAAAAACTGTCAGTTCAAAGATCATTTACAAAACTTTACAAAATCAGTAGACATCAAGTTAAAGGAAATATTTCACAAAAGGAACATTGCTAAAGGGCCCTTCCATGAAAAGTGAAATTGAAATGATGACTTGCTGAAAAACATTCTGAGCAACGAAAGAGTCATTCTGATTTTTTTGTTGTTGGATGGAACAGTCCTTCAACCCCCCCCCCCCCCCCCCCAAAAAAGAGAAAAAATGGCTCTATCACTGTTTAGAATTTTTTAAGCAAGCCATCATCCCCATGTTGCCTGTGCCACTTCAGTTTCTCTTTTCTCGGAGTGGCCCCTTGTACCCACCTAGCAAAATAAATAACGACTACCTTCAATCAAAGTAAGAGACGCCACCACGCTACATAGTTTTTATATCACTCATCCAGATGGTGTTATTGCAGACTAAAATAACTCTTTCAGAATATACTAGTTCGTCTAGACAGAAAAAAGAACAATGACTAGTCTGTTAATGTGCACTCAGGCAAGAGAGAGTAAGTGAGGTAGGGGGAAACGCCTAGCAACACGTGTATATAGTATTTGTATGATGTAAGTACCTGATTAGCGGAGGCTGGCAGAAGGAAGTTGGCGGTGGTCGGAAGAGCTTTGGGTGTTGTGGGGATGTCTCGTTTTCCCAAGGCCATGCTCACAATAGCAGTCATGTGTGTCTCCGGCCCAAACACATGGATTGGCAGGCCGAGTCTGTTGCCTGGATATATTTGAAAATATATTTCTTAGCTCAAAGTGATCAAAATCTCATCAACACACAAAATCTCGAAATAGTAAGAGCTGAAAAGAATGAGCACTAAAAATAATCTTAAGAGGATACGTTACAAAAAATCAAACAACCCAACAAGTCTTTGAATTATCTAACTCATTAACTATTCAGAACACACTTCATTCATTATAATTTCCAAGCTACATTTATTTCTAAAATAAAAACAAATGTGAAATTGTGATGCTTTAAAAAAGAAGCCAAGAACTTTGCACTTTTAAATCCTTCAGACCAAAGAAACAAGTTACCTTGAAAATTCAGAACGATAGTCCTTGTCATTACCAGCATGTAATTCAGAAAGATCTTCAAAATAATCAATAACGTCTTGTGTGGTAAACGCTGTTTTCTGTACATGTTTTGTCTCAGGTGGGCCAACTTGGGAATGGGGTCTCGCTCACGGGTGTACCGATGACTAGGCATTCGGGCATTTTAAAAAAGATTTAGTAAGAGTTTTACGGCACTTGCAACACAATAAGGTCATATAAGAGTCGTAGATTAGAAGTGCAGCAAGTGAGTAACAAACACAAAAAAGAAGGAGGGGAGATAGAGAAGATAGATTTTTTTTATAGGAAAGGAGCAAACCACACCAGAGCACCTGTCAACCACCCATTTGGGCAGTTTTTTACGTGCCACTGGCTAGAACCCAAATGGTCGCTGGATCGGAAAAGTAATGTACGTGCCACCGGAGTACTGATAGCACGGGCTCAAAGGCTTCAAAGCAGAAATTTATCGAAAGACACAGAAACCCAGATCATGACAGAATACAAAAGTACATCCCGTGGCTTCTAAGACGTACCCAACTCTCTCATGATCCTCAGTCCCTCCTGGTAGTTTGGCCCCGCTCGCCTCACATAAATGGACACGTTGCCTTCATTCAGCTTCAGCTGGTACTCCTCAAGAGCTCGCACAATGCCCTGGGGAAAAAGCAATATACACTTTCAGTGTTGGAGTTTATTGGGGGGGTTTTTTTAGTAAGAGTTTTACGGCACTTGCAACACAATAAGGTTATGTAAAAGCCGAAGATTAGAGGTGTTACAAGAGAGTAACTAACAGAAAAAAGAAGGAGGGCAGATAAAGACGATAGATGTTTGATAGGAAAGAAGAAGCAAACCACACTAGAGCACCCGCCAACCACCAACAAGCAATATCCACCTTCAGTGTTGGGAGTTTGAATAAGTTTTTGGTTTTAGTAAGGTTTTACGGCGCTCTCAACACAATAAGGTCATATGAGTGCCGAAGATTAGACGCGTTACAAGAGAGCAACAAACACAAAAAAAGAAGGTAGAGAGATAAGGACGACACACATTTGATAGGAAAGAAGGAGCAAACAAAACCAGAGCACCCGCCAACCACCCACCATTTCAAATCGAGAAAAAAGCAAAATGAGCCAACAACAAAGGACAAGTTCTCGTTACCATGTTGCGGTCAAATGTATAGTAGTTAGTTTGATGTCCAAGGTATAGTAGTTAGTTCGATGTCCAATGTATAGTAGTTAGTTCGATGTCCAATGTATAGTAGTTAGTTTGATGTCCAATGTATAGTAGTTAGTTTGATGTCCAATGTATAGTAGTTAGTTTGATGTCCAATGTATAGTAGTTAGTTTGATGTCCAATGTATAGTAGTTAGTTTGATGTCCAAGGTATAGTAGTTAGTTTGATGTCCAAGGTATAGTAGTTAGTTTGATGTCCAATGTATAGTAGTTAGTTTTATGTCCAATGTATAGTAGTTAGTTTGATGTCCAATGTATAGTAGTTAGTTTGATGTCCAAGGTATAGTAGTTAGTTTGATGTCCAAGGTATAGTAGTTAGTTTGATGTCCAATGTATAGTAGTTAGTTTTATGTCCAATGTATAGTAGTTAGTTTGATGTCCAATGTATAGTAGTTAGTTTGTTGTAGTTGGCGGTTTTGTGTTTTATTTTGCTATTTTTTGTTGTTGTTGTTGTTGTTGTTTTTTGTGATTGCTTTTTCTCTGTTTTTTGTTTGTTTGTTTTCTTTCGTTGGGCTTCATCTTAGACTGTACTTATAGTAGGCCTACATCTCTTAAATTTCACCATTTAACGGGAGAAACTATGAAATCTCTTGCAAAGAGAAATATACACAAGCAAACACTTTTCCCCCTTTTA